ATACTTCCTTACTTCTTCAATTAATTCCTTCAGTATCATTTTCATCTAAGCGAATACTGCGCTGAATGATACGTAACACGTGTTGTAATCAGAGTGGGGAATTACTGAGGCGCGCAGCTGACACCTGGAAGCGAGCCCAGTGCGCATGCACGACCAGCGCGACGTTTTAAAAATATAGCCGAGAATCAAACACTCTGCGACGCAGCTAACATAGAGAACATAGCGTACGTAGCGTACGGAAATCTGTGGGGCCAGTCACATTGGCAATAAAGGGAGATATTTTTCTGTTCGTATAGCGAACAGAGCGTACGTAGCGCTCTGTGTGGCCGCACTTTAAGGCTTATATCTTGTAGTAAACGTTTGTCTAAATGATGCCAGGCACATGTGACTGACCACGAACTGAACGAATTATGTAGCGCTCCTGATCTGGAAGCGGGGTCTGTAGGAACTGCAGGACCGAGGGTTGGTCTAGCATTGTAAACATGTAGACAGAGATGCTCGAAAAAATGCATACGCATTTTAATAGAGGTCTTTTCAAAATAGAATCGAAAAGTAAGGTGCGGCGTGTAGTGTGATACTGTGACATGTAGACCCACTGCCAAGTAACAGCTGTGTGAACAGGCGACACTACAACGGCCGTTGCTAGGGAACGGCTTTGTGGACGCGCTGTTTCCCCGGCAACGAGAGAACACACTATAACGGAAGACACGTTTTCTGTGCGGTCCGTGTGGAGGTGGCTTCGAATACCTCAACCATAGAGCCCTGCGAGTCATAGGGGGTGGCGAAAAGGGAATCCAGTGCCTGGGGGTATAACCTGGCGACTCTGTTCCTGGGGAATATATATACGGGAAGCAGGCCCTCCAACTATGGAAAGAACAACACTTTTATAACGAAATGACTTTAGAACTGACCAAATTTTAACAATTTAACGGACTACAATTTTAACTTTTTGATGGTAGCATTATAACCCAATGCGCCAAACCGACAGGGCGTGAGCAATAGAGCCAACAGCGAATGTGCGTATCTGATGAAGGTCGAAAGGCCGAAACATGTAGAAGATAATTAACGTATAGTGTACCTATACATAAGTTTTACTGACAAAAATAAAATATTAGTGGGGGGTGGAGTCCAGCTGGGTCCACTCGGCACGGCTGCCACTGATTGACTTATTGTACCTGCCTCGGGCGATTATGATGAGGGAGAATTTGGTGGAATGAAGATTGGCAGGGGAAACCGAAGTACTCTGAGAAAACCCGCCCCAGCGCCACTTTGTCCACCACAAATCCCACTTGACCAGACCCGGGATCGAACCCGGGATTGAACCCGGGCCGCCGCGGTGGGAAGTCAGCGACTAACCGCTTGAGCTTCGGAGCGGCCAAAATAAAATATTAGTTCTAGACTTGTATTCGGGAGGTAGTCTCTTCGTGTTTCAACCGAGACATGGTTACCACGACCGAACTTCTGTCTTTCCAGACAAATGACGGGGTATTGCCTGGATTTGGCCACGACCACTTCCTTTCAAATAATTTATAATTAATTTATTATCATAGCATCCGAAAGTATACAGTCTAGACATCAAAATGGTCGTTAAGTAACTTAACAGAGGAAAAGAAGCGAAGTAACATATTTGGAATAAGGAACGAAGATGTACAAACAGAATTTTCTCAATGCACACCAAACCAGAATAGAAGGCCGCGCCATAGCTCATGCTTCTCACCGCGGCGGCCCGGGGTCGATCCCGGGTCTGGTCAAGTGGGATTTGTGGTAGACAAAGTGGCGCTGGGGCAGGTTTTCTCCGAATACTTCGGTTTCTCCTGCCAATCTCCATTCTACCAATTGCTCCACAATCACCCTCACCTATCATCTGGGGCTGGTACAATAGGCCAGAAGTGGCCGCAGTACAAGGGACTTGAATGAATGAATGTATGAGGGGTAGGCCTTCTCGGCCCTTGCACCGCGTCCTACAGTGGGACTTAGTCCCAACCCACAGCAATTTAAAAAAACCATAATAGAAAGAAATTAAGTAACATCTCTGAAGAATGGATGGAAAGCACGTTTCTATACAAGCCATGGTTTACAGAATTAGTGTGGGAAAACAGAGGAGTCGACAAACACTGGCAGACCCTGCGCTTGCCGTAGTGTGTAGAAATCAGCAGTAGTTAAGCGTTGACGTTCGGTGGCAAGTCATTCACAGCTCTTTCACAATACGATATATACTTATAGACCTGAACACAGTATGCGTCTATGTAAATATGGTCATTGTGCCTGGTGGAATATTCAATGCCTTAGTCCTATTTATTGTTTATGGCAGAGGTGTCCAAACCGAGTCACTGACAGACCAAATTATGCCTCATGTACCTACTCGCTGTCCGTATTATAAAAAACAATATATTTTTCCTAATGCACGGATACAGATACAGATAAGAATTATCTAAGTTTCAGGAACCGACATGTCCGATAGCCGGGGGAGATTCATGTAAGATTTGAGGGTTTCACGGCGGTGACTATGAAGAATGCCGTCTTCTGGGGTATGACGCCGTATAGATTTTTGTGAACCGATGTTTCGGAGGAACTTATCGCCTCTATCTTCAGGATAGAAAAATCCGCGAGCGAGGAACCAGCTTGAGCAGGTGGCTGCAGCCACATCCCAGAAGACGGCATTCGTCAGATTCTATGAAGTTCAGCCAGTGATAGCTTGAAATCTTACATGAATAACAAATGCATCCGCGAATTTCAGAAAAATTTATGAAAATTAAATTAATTCTTCAAGATTAGTCGCTAAAGGTTTCGCTGGATTGGATTGCAACTTCATAAAATCAAATTCCATATTTTTTCAAGCTACTTATTACCTGTCGTGTAAAACCAAGTGAAAAACTTCACAAAAACAAACTCCGTGGCTTTAGTCCGCAAGCGAACTATACCCACCGAGCGATCGCCTCTTGTCGGCGAAGTTAGTGCCAACTTTAGCGGATAGAGGTTGTGGCGTGGTCAGCGCAACGGATCCCCACGTTCATTAATTTCAGTTTTCTAGACCGGAGCCGCTATTTCCTTGAAATAGCTCCTCAATTATCCTCACGAGGCTGAGTGGACCCCGTTCCAGACCCACTATTTCTCAGAAAATCTGGTAGCGTCGGCAATCGAACCCGGACCTCTGGATCTGTAGTCAGGAACTCTGACCACTAGACAACAGGGGCGGTGGAAAAAGAATACGGAATATTTAATGAGTTATTCTGGTAATTTCGTTTCCCGACATAGGAAAGAGGTAAAAAGCTGTCCCTATGACAACGTATGGGGGAGTAGATGTATAGATCCACATTTCCTTGACCTTGGCACTAGCTGGAGGTGAGTAGTCAGCTTCACGCCCCGGCCGATTTACCCCCGAGGATACCTACTGGACAGGAGGCTGGGTGGGCCTCAGAGCCGGTCTGGACGACATGGAAAAGAGAAAATTCTTGACCCTACAGGAACTCCGACCCCTCAGCTGTTCAGCTCGTAGTCAATCGCTATACCGACTGAGCTACCAGAGAAAAGTGGTTCTGGTGATGGAAGGATAATGTCATGGGCCTTATAAAACGAACTGGCTGGCTCCATACGACTTGCGTGTCGCCTCTTGGACAGCCCTTGTTTACGATATGCGAGTTTCTGATTCCTTAGCTCTGTTTTCCATAAATTATAATAAGCGTACGTTAAACGGTGATGTAACAGAACTGGACAGTCGCAGTTCTTATCTGAATACACGAGTTTCCTCATGCGTTCTTTGCGTAATACTCCCTTATGAAATATGTTGGTGTAACTTATTTTGTAGGGGCCTCTGATGTCAAATTTCATCAAAATCCGTCCAGGATATCTCGAGCTAAAAACACATGAACATCAATTTTCATCGTAATTTATATTATGCACGTATAATCAATATTCGGGTCTAAGTTAACATTAAGAAGTGAGGAAAATAAACTATATACATTTACAACAAATAAAATTTGTACTTCAATGTCTAATACAAAATTCGAGAGCGAGAAACAGTTGAAGTTTTCCATACGTCAAAGTATAATATTAATTCAATCAAACTCTTTGTTTTGATGTGCTTACACAAGAGCCCAAAGACCAAATATGAAATATGCAAGAGGAAAGAAGGAATGAAACAAACAGAAACACAAACAAAACAAAACCAAGGCCGTCTGGACAATAATACAAATTCTGTAAGTTCAGCTGAGCCAGCCAATTTGCCTCTAGAAAAAATGTATGTACAATAACATTAACGTAATTCAAATTATATAAATATATGCCGGTCACGGTAGCCGAGCGGTCTAAGGCATGAACTGTCTTCGCTCGCTCGGAAGCACTGATCGTGGGCATGGATGTTTGGTGTTTGTGTGTGTTTGTGTACAGGTAGAGGCCTTGCGACGACCTGATCACCCGCCCAAGAAGTCCTACCGAATGTGTAAGATCTAGTAAAACGAAGTGAAACTTAGAGCTTCTTGGAGGTATGCCAAGGCCAATGGGGCTTTAGCGCCAAAGGAAATTATATATATTTACGTGAGGAACTCGACAGCCAGCATTCAATTACAGTGCGAATATTAACACCTGGAGAGGCCGCGTCATAGCTCAAGCTGTTAGTTTTCGCAAAATAATCGCCTTACATAAAGAGCTGTACTGGTAGAAGCATTGCCATTAACACAATTCACACAGTTGGATTTAAGACAAAGCGACAGGGGCGGCCGCCCCCGGGCCCTCCGTAAAACAGAAATAGAATCCATAGAATTTATTGAGACACCTGCTTCTTTAAAAATAACGAAAAGTTTGTTTGTAATTTTAGTTATTATAAGAAATAAGAACAGAAAGAGAACTGTCATAACTTAAATTTGTTATTACTGATATGGGCCCCCATATTTTGATAGCCCGGGGCTCCTACGAATGTAAATCAGGCCCTGAAAAAAAGACATTTATTAATTTGGGTCCTATCGGTCATTGGTCACTGTTGATGCTGATTCTAGGCCTTGTCTCTGCATCATGGGCAGTTCTGTCGGCGTTTCGGAGGTACACGCAGTTCCCATCTTCAGTACAGAATTGAGCAGGATGGGTGAGATTCAAAGGAGAAGCGTCTGTGCTCGTGCCCTGTTCGGGGCCAACAGGGACAATGAACAAGTAAGTCACCGATCCTCCCTTTTCAGCATTCTGATGATTCTGATGATTCTGATGCGTTATACGACCTTGAAGGGAACGGTTGGATAAGTTTTCCATGTCCACTGTCCCAGCGGCCCCGAATCGGGCAACAGCCACCCCTCCTTCCACGTTTCCCTTCATGAAGCCTCATATATAGGAGCGTATGTGCAAGGACTGAGCTCCCCTACTGACTTCGACCTTGAAGATGGAAGCTGCATCTAACTCCGAAAAATCTTAATCATTACCGACACCTTCATTGTGCAAAGACCCAAGGGCAGAATGTATGTCAACAAAATTCGTTTGTATTTGGTCTCTTTTTAATGCGGAATGAATGGAAATAAAATGTTTGGATGATTGTTTCTTTCAGAGAAGAAAACATCCCAGTGAGAATTCAAATGGAAGTGTAACCATTCGTTATATAAGCTTTCGTAATATTTCCCGCTTTCTCCCGTATTCCTTTACAGTCCTACATGTTCCGAGGCGAGGTTTAACGCCATCTGCCACGAATAACACTCATAAACAGTTCATCGCAAACCCGCTCCTTTATATAGGAGTATATTATATATAGCATATATATACTAAACTCCACATATCCACAAGAAAATATTGTAAACACTCACACAATAGATACGGTACACCAAAAAAAAAAAAAGAACTGTTCGCAAATTCGTTATCTACTGCATAATTTATGGCCACGCAGTGTGTTAACACTCGGCAATTAGTTGTTACGGCAACCCCAAACTGCGTCATCTCACCCTTTACGAAACTGCCGTATACATTATCACGTCTTAAGTGATTAGATATTGGGGTTTGGATTGATAATTGGATTTCCTGAACACTTATAACATGTAAGTGCAAAGAATTATGGCGCTATCGCTAATTTACACATGCGCTTCATTTCAACACGCACTAAGTCTTGAGTGTCTTCACTTACCGTTGGCTGGCAGCGGATCGCAACAATGTGATTATGTCGCTGCCGGCTGGCTAACATCTAACGACTTGTCTTCAACTGGACACTCACTGGCTGTGACTAATTCTGACTGCTGACTGCTAATGCCGGTCCTCGCCAGCACGGTGATTCTTGGTTCCGAGTCTCACAGAACTCACGATTTAATCTATAGTATGACGTCCTGGGAGCTTCAATGACCTTTCCCTTGAGTCAGAGTTACTTTACGACTGACGGTTTACCGTCAATCAGTTCATCTTGGCGCCAAGACCTTTGAGACCCAAAACCAGTGTTTCCTTTTCTAAACCGAACAATTGCTTTCATAGTCCTTATGTAACATTCTCTCTGACGACAGGACTGGTCTGTCGTTTACAATTGCTGCTGGCACTCAGCAGCACAGTCATTCTCGGGTCCGACTCCCACTGGACTCATGACCACATTTTACTGTCTCAGCTTCCAGACCCCCAAGATGGAGGGCCAAGTCTCTTTATTTATATCCCCCAGCTACAGGTGGCTCACTTATACCCCCAGGTACTGCGTTTCCTTTTCGTGGCCTCCTACGATTCGCAGGGCTACGGTGGAGGTATTCGAACGCTCCTCCTCACGGTGTCTAACTCTGACTCGACTGGTGGCCTCGTTATATAACCTCAGTGCTGACCGCATAGAAAACTTAATATCCAACAGTTCCTCAATTGCTGCGTGCGTTGCTGCGGAAATCTGTTTACAGGACCGTTGCTTAGTAATGGCCGCATCCATTCTGGCTTTCAGCTCTCATGTCACAATATGGAGAGAGATTTATAATGGAAAATATTATAAAATCGGATCAGCACTCTTCAAACTAGTTTTTGTTCGGATCTTAGATACTGACATAGCGCCCTTCTTCCGTTCTCCGGCACTGTGGAAATTCCTGCTGACATTTTGACGTTTTGTCTCAGCTCTGGACCGGAACTCGTATATCGAATCAGCAGTCACTGCCTTTACATGTGGTCGTTTTCTTCAATAATTTTGTTGAAAAGTGTAACGAAGTTTCTTTACCCCTCACTTCTGTCAAACAGCAATGCGCCTTTAAAAATGACAAAGCTACACGTAGATGCTAACGATAGACTGACACACAACTGCCAAATCATATAATCACGTGACCCAGCACGTGTCATGTCACAACTGCTGATCCTTGCTTTATTAAGACATCAATCCGGTTTAAAAATTTTCAGACTTCGTGCATAACAGACGCAGATGGCTCGGATAAGGAACTTACTGTGTTAGTTCACATAGCATCGATAAGGGTTTAGCAGGCCTCGCCTGTTCCAACAGTTCTCGTTCCGTATATAAAGCAACTTCTTTACTATTTCCACGCTGGTCAGTGCTAGATGACTATTATTAATGATGAATATAAGGGAATGTTCATAGACTAACTGACCAAGCTCTAACCTTGTCCCTTGCTTATAACATCTCGCTACGGACCACGCAGAACACACAGTTCCTGAGTTGCATGTGTATCCATTGCCGCGGGAACGTGTTTATTGAGACATTCGCTAGGAGAAGTCGTCTATTCTTGCTTACTAAGAATCTGCTGCCTAGCACCGGACGTCGTTCTGTTGTCTGTTTCGCGGCCTTGCCCTAGAAATGAATGTTGTTTCAGAGCCGTAAGCTAGCAACGGCTGTTTGTCTGGCTCCATCACAGTTCTTGCTTTGATCAAATATGTAACAGTACGATTTCGATCATGTAACGATTTCTATCACGCGGTATCGTAGTTGGTTGAGGCACTAAGCTACAAGTCTGAAGGTCGCGGATTCGAGTACTGATGAGGCGGATTTTTTTTTTCAATTTACTTGATCTTTCCAGCCGCACTATGGCCTTGTGGTTGACTCAGCCTCTAACAGAAATGAGTACCAGGAATCTTCCTGGGGGGTTAAGGGAGGCTGGAGCGTAAGGCTGACCTTACCGACATCTGTGAAGCGATTATCTAGAGAAAATGGGGGAGCTTCGACGTCTCACAACCGTATGGGCCTGTTACAGGGATAGCTTGACTTTTACCTTTACCTTGAAGTTGTTTGTTTAGAGCTGATTTCTTTGACGTCAGAACGTCATGAATTTCCAAGACCTGTAGGAACGGAAACACGCACGCGCACAAGAATAAACACTGAATTACTTTATTAACGCGACAAGAAATTTGTGCCGGTTCTGGAATTTGGACGAATATTTATTGGACACTCACTCTTTACACTCACAAATACAACTGTTCACACTTGTAACGTCTTCTGACGTTTCTTCTTCAATGTCACAACCCTCTCGCAACGCTAATCTCGGTGAAGTGTCTTCTGCTCTGCTCGGAGCTCAACTGTCCTTAGCTCTCGTTGGTCTGAGTCTGAGTCTCATTTTACGACCGACGGTCAGTCGGCCAGTCTGTCTTGGTCTGTCTGGGGCTTACTACCAGATCTTCATTACTGTTTGACAGTTGCGGTCTTGTTATTTGTGGGAGCCCTCTCTGACGAGAGGACGGGTCTGACTTTTGTATATGCTGCTGGTCCTTGCCAGTGCAGTCCTTCTCTGGTCCGAGACTCTTGGTACTCGCGACCATATTTTACTGTCTCCGATTTGAGACTTCCCTCTTCGTCGCCTCCTACGACTCGCAGGGTCACGGTGGAGGTATTCCTGCTGGTCTCTTGTCGGATGCGAACTGTTATATCCTGCATTCGGACTGAATAGGGAACACCTTGTCGAAGGGTTAATTTCGCCCGCTGCTATGCAACGAATCCCTTGTTGCCGCGGGAATACGTGTCTCTCTCAAATAATTCGTTTTTAACGGTGGAAACCTCACTGTTAGAATTTCATTTCCGGGTCAACGATTTCCTAGGCATCGCTGCCTAGGAAATGCTAGCCGTTGACTAGTCATGAACGTCTTATAGTTCGGCTTTCAAGCAGCACGTCACAATACTATAGCCTATGCAAGAAATCAGTGTTTGTTTCAAGGTCAGGTCACTTAGCAATTATGGCAGATAAATTGGCACTTGGGAGGATTTTTTTTCGAGTACTTCGGTTTCCCCTGTCAATTTTCACTACACCAGCTGCTTGAAATTAATTACACATCAATTCCTGACGCTATCTCATCTCCGGAACGACAGTGTTGTTAAGTAACTAAAACAAACTCCGTGGTTTTAGTCCGCAAGCGAACTATACTTACCGAGCAATCGCCGCTTGTCGGTGAAGTTAGTTCCAACGTTAGCGGATAGAGTGTGTCGCATAGTCAGCGCAACAGATCCCCACGGCCGTTAATCTCGGTTTTCTAGACCATGTTAAGTAATGGTGTCGCAGTAAGCAGGAATTGTGAGTTTAAATTGGCAAAATTAAGTTCGCAAGAGATAATGCAGTATGATACGTCACTTCCGGGGCAAAACCTTCATTCAGGTGATCTTATCGTTTTATTTTGATATGATGAGACTAATTTCTAACTCTGTGCATATCAAGGCAAACAATTTGTATCGAGCTTCTCTTCATGGAAAGAGTCAAAACTAGCCTAACATAACATTAACGCGTCAAGTTTGTCGTCTGTGGCGGCCATGTTGAAATCGACTGTAGCTCCCATCAGAGTGAACATGAGAAGTTAAAAGAATAAAAAATTGTTGAACTAAACAACATCAGTTATTTGTTTAACCTCTTCCATGCTACAAACAACATATCTAATTAGGAAAAACTATTAATTTTTGCTCCGAGCCATTCCCGAGTGTACTAACATTAATGACAATAAACTCTCCTGCCATCTATTGGCAGTTCAAGACAAACGAAAATGCGAAAGGAAAACGTGGCGTCTAGTGTTCTATATGAAAGAGCATAAACGGATTAAATGCTATGTAATAACGTTTATTGTGTTTAAAAATTCCTGGAAAGAGAACATGTCAGCTCATATCCCTTAAGTTTAAAATTATAAGACGATAACTGTATAATTAATTGATAGTAGCGTACTAAAATAAGTCAGGCGGGGTAGCTGATTACATCACTCTGTTTATAATTCTCAGAATATGGACCCTAGCACTTTTT